TAGAGGTAGTCGAAGTGTATAACTTCGTTAGGCTTCGATCCATGGAGCGTCATTGATAGCAGTCTAGGTATCTTCAGTCCTCCTTTGGCAGTGAGACAGTGGATGCAGCACTTGGTAAACTCCTTGCAATCTTGAGCCATATCACGCCAGTGAAATGTCTCCTTCAGTGCACTCAATGTTGCCTCAGCTCCACGGTACCCTGCTGCTCCACAGTGCGCTACAACCAGCAGTTTCATCTGCAATTCCACTGCATCGTCCGGAATCCAATTCTTCCCTTTCAGCTGGATTATTCCATCTTCTTCAGTATATGAATCCTTGGGCTTCTCACTTATCGTATCCTCTTGAGCCTTGGAGATCATGTCCGCATTTGGCCACTCAAAGTCCACGGCCTGCGGTGAGCCAACCATGTCCTGCGCCATGAGTGCATGGGTTATGCGCTTGATAGAGTGTCGCTTCGCTCTATAACCAGCAAACCATCTTGTCATTATGTCTCCCATGACATTCCGTTCTCCTGCTATGTGCTCTATTGTATACATGAACCTAGACAGGTATAGAGCCCAACTTTGTACCTTGTTCAGGATGTGGCGTCCGAGTGCTGGCTCAATTGCGGTAGGATTGTACACAAATAGCAAGTTACGGTGATCAGAGAATATGTGGATGTCGTTCTCTGCGGCAAACATGTAGTCCAGCTTATCGAATGCCTGGAAGATTGCGTACGCTTCTTTCTCGAAAGTACTCCAATGCGTCTGAGTACTGTTGAATATAGCGCTTAGGAAGGCAAGTGGCTCATGTCGCTGCTCCTCGACATTCTTGTCTAGCTCTTTTACTTGGCATTGTGTAACAACAGCGGCCCAATGAGTATCACTAGCGTCCGTGTATACACAGAGCGTTTTCTCGGGGTCGCGATGTGAGAGCTTTACGGCGTTGCGGAGCTGTTCTTGTAGTTCGAGGTATGCATCAGCATGAGCAGGGCCCCAGGACAGCTGAGTAAGACGTATGCTGTGGATAGACTTGGTAGTCCGTTTGCCTGACCGACTGTACGCTTCCTCTAGCATAGCTCGTAGTGGAGCAATGCGATTTGCAAAGTCTGGAATAGAGCCTGACATCCATTGTAGACAGTAGACGAACTGTGATAACTCTGCTGCTGTGACTGGCATGTGTGTATTCATTAGACCACTCAGTCTGCGGGGATCGCATGTGACACCGTCCTTGTCAATGATCCTTCCGCACCATCGAATTACTTTGGAGAATAGAACGCTCTTCTTTGCTGAGATCTTAAGCCAGCGCTTAACACAAACCTCGAAAAAGGTTTCGAGTGAGTTAAGGAGTTCCTTCTCTGTCTTAGCATGGAGTATGAAATCATCTAGCCAGGCCTTGAGCGACTTCCGAAGTTCGGCAAAGCATGGTTCGACACGTGACTGGAAGTTTGCCATGCAGTTATTCCCCCCTTGGAGAGTTCTAGTTGGTTTAAAAATGCCAGTCAATGTCAAGAAGCTGTGGTACTGCTGGCTTTTCTCGTCTAACGGCAACTGCAACACCAAGGAGTCTACGAAGGTTTAAAAAAAAAATAAATTATAAAAAATAAAATATAAGAATTTTCTCGTAGACTCCTTGGTGTTGAACAGGTTCAATGATGGTTTTTTTTCCTTACTAGCAATGAAGTGTGGCATTACTTATAGGGGATGTAGGGTGGTAGGTAAATTTGGACTTGTAAAGAATAACAGGAACTAATAAGGGAGGTTGACAAAGACTAAATTCGACGGAGCTTGACTCAGAAGGATGCAGCAGGAATCACCAATCAATATATCATATTGATAGCACTACTCCCACAATCGACCAGCACAGAAGACGAGTTGTGACGATAGTCGCCACGTACGTCTATACTCTGTCGCAAGAATTTGCAAAGGGATGGGTGCGGTTGAGCCAATCTCCGGAATGTCATCTTTGATACCGCTCCCCTGCTCTCTCTTCGGTATTTGGTTCGTTGGACCACGGTCCGATATTTTGATGGGGTGCGTTCCTGTCGACACGCTCCGACTTTGGACACTGATCTCCTCTTTACTCACGCCAGCATCTGAGTGTTGTACTTGCGACGGAGGCGGCGGTGTCAGTGGTGCGCCCCTCGCCTGTAGTCTTCCAGAAGCAGAACTTGTCGACGCCAGTGCCCTTGCCCTCTCTCGGGCGGGCGGCGGGGTCTTCGCCGTCTTGCTCGGCATGGGTCGCATACTGGGGACAGCCTTCGGAGGCCGTGCCTTTCTGCCGGGTGTGAGAGTGTGAGCCCTTCGTTCGAGGGCGCCAGCGGTGCCTGGGAGCGTAGTGAGAGGAGGGGGTGGCGGCGGCCGTGCAGCAAGACGTGGGGGCGGGTTTGGCGGGGAACGAGGCCGCGGCGAGGGCCGAGGCACAGGTCTGAGCGGTTTGACTCGACGCGTAGGCTGCTGTGGAGAAAGTGGCGAGTTGACCGGCGGTTGTGGCAGACCCGGGGGTACATGTTGGACATTCGGCTGCAAATTCGGCGGGGTGGACGCTTGTAGACTCGTAGTGGAAGTATCGTTGACGGCGGGGAAAAGCTTGATGGGCAAGATCCATTTGGATGCGTTCGGTTCACGCTCGATGGCAAAGCGGGAGCCCGGCTTGTACGCGGGGGTTTTCGCGATGACGGTCACAGCGTGTGCGGGGTGGTTGCTATATTGTGCGGCGGGACACGGAGGCGTGAGGGAGACGGTGACGTCGCGGCCTTGGCGGTGCGGGATTTCACCGCCGGAGGGGCTCACTGTGTAGATGTTGCCAGCACTAGAGGTGACTTTGAAGACGATGGGGGTGTATGTGTCGTTCGTGATGCGGAAGATGGCTCTGTGAGGGACGGGTGGGTTGGGCGGGAAGCGCAGGGTTTTTGTGTTGACGGTAACTGCCAGCGGCATGGTGGAGGGTGTGGCTAGGCGTCGCGGAAGGAGAGACGAAGAGAAGGGAAGAGGGGGGTGGGGGTTGGAGATGGTGCGATTCAGAGGAATACTTGTACTCTACCTCATTTGGCGAGTGGAGGTAGTGAGAGGGGGTCGGACATTGTTGCCGTCCTGAGGGGGTTGAACTCAACGCTCTCAAGAGCGTTGCTGTGCACGGCATGCCGGGGGCAGGGGGATGTGAACCATATTCCCCATGATCCCATAATCCCTCATATTATTGAAGACAGAGTGAAGCCGTGCTGCCTCACGATGGGCAACAATGCCGCCCTCATCTTGCTATTGTGTCATCATAATTTACCAGGTGATGGCATGCCCTTCAGGGTATCTCCAAGTGTTACGCAATACGTTTGGACTGCCTTGAGGGCCCGTCCCAACACAGCATATCACATCAGTGGCAATCGCGCAGAGCCTCCTGATTGGTTGCTGCTGATACAAATATTAACATGGCAGTCTTAGTAAGAGGTAGTAAGCGCCCTTTCTCCTGGAGTGTAAGCCTCACAGAAAGGCAATTTCATTGGACAACAAATAGATTGAGACAACTCAAAAGCAAGTGACCACAGTAAAAACGGAGAAAGGGGCGGATGGGGAGGGAAGGAAGAAGCTGCGGTTGGTGAGGGAGCCAGGATGCTGGAGATGGTGAGAGAGAACTAAAGCCGAAAATGGGAAGGGAGGGACGACTCTGGGGATGGTCAGGGAGAAAGAGAGCTGAGAATGGTGAGAGAGGGGGGAGACTACAGTTGGTGAGGGAGGTAAGAAGCTGCGTTTAATGAGGGAGATAGCAAGCTGAGGATGGGAAGGGAGAGACGACTCTGGGGACGTTCCGGGAGAAAGAGAGCTGCAGATAAAAAGGGAGGCAGGAAGCGGCGGTTTTTGAAGGAGAGGGGAGGCTGAGAATGGTGAGGGAGGGGGGAGCTGCAGTTGGTGAGGGAGGTAAGAAGCTGCGTTTTGTGAGGGAGATAGCAAGCTGAGGATGGGAAGGGAGGGACGACTCTGGGGATGTGAAGAGAGTTAGGAAGCTGGAGCTAGTGAGGTAGAGAGAGACAGAGAAAGAGAGACAGACAGAGAAAGAGAGACAGACGGAGAGACAGAGAGACGGAGTAAGTGATATATGGGAATGGTGGGAGAGGAGGAGAGAGGAGGAGTTTGCAAGTGGGGACGCACGAGTGGATGTTGATGATCATTCGATTTGTTGCTACAGTAGTTTGAAGGACCCACTCTATTTGTACATTTTATACATCTCATTGTTTGTGCTGACCTTCTGCTTTAATGTAATTAGCCTAAAATATATATCTTAAGGTCTTCAATATATACTATCAATGTCTTTCACGTGGGCACCTCGCAGTGACCAATCATATGGCCTAACTTGATATCGGAAAGAAAGGCATGGTTCTGTTGGGACGGGCTCTGAATCTTCTCCTCCTGCATCACGCAGGGGACCCGCTCTCCACCCGCCCCCTTCCCGCGGTCCCCCGCGCCGCCGCGCCGCTCCCCTCCCCCCCCTTCCCCCCCCGCGCCCCGCCGGAAGCCCGCACCATGTCGCCGCCCGTCTACGTCTCCGCGTCCAAGCGGCTGCTGACGTTCCCGCTTTCGCCGCCGACGCCGTCGGACACGCTGTCGCTGACGAGCCACCATGCCACGCAGGTCGCCTTCAAGGTGAAGACCAACAACCATTCGCGCTACATCGTGCGCCCGAACGTCGGCTTCATCGCGCTGGGCGCCACGCTCGCCGTCCACATCGGCCTGCACGCCCACCTTGGCGACAACCTCACGCCGCCCGAGTTCGGCGTCTCCAAGGACAAGTTCCTCGTCTGCATCGCACCCGCCCCCGACCCGCGCCCAGACTTCTGGGCCGCCCCCCACCCCGACCAGCAGGACATCAAGCTCAAGGTCCAGTTTGTTGGCGCTGACCTCTTCCGCCCAAGTTCTGCTTCTCGAAGACCACAGGCGAGGGGCGCACCACTGACACCGCCGCCTCCGTCGCAAGTACAACACCCAGATGCTGGCGTGAGTGAAGAGGAGATCAGTGTCCAAAGTCAGAGCATGTCGACAGGAACGCACCCCATCAAAATATCGGACAGTGGTCCAAAGAACCAAATACCGAAGAGAGAGCAGCGGAGCGGTATCAAAGATGATATTCCGGAGATTGGCTCAACCGCACCCATCCCTTTGCAAATTCTTGCGACAGAGGTAGCACGCGGAAATAGAGAAGTAGCTCGCCAACCAGTAGCAAGACACATTTTACCATGGGAACGGGCAGACTGGGTCGAAAACGTCAGGTCTTGGATGATAGAACGGCTGGAAGAAGAGTGTAACGCCAAGTGCAGTGCAAGCTCTATTGTGCCGGAGATGTTAGTAGGCGGCGTGAGGATGCGTGCAAAAACGAGCAAGGGAGATTTCATGGCTGTAGCATACCCAGGGAGCGGTGGTGGTGCAGCGAAGATAGGAGTTCTTGGGCGTGTGGTGCCGCGTTACATCTTTAAGGTGGTGTGTATGAGCGAAAACAAGGAAGCGGTATTGATGCGGGACCATCTGGACCCCTTTCACTATAAGGTATCGGTTAAGGAAATGGAGGCAGCAACCAAGGATTATGTGTGGATGCAAATGGGGACGATCGGGAGGACAAGTGAACTTGTAGAAGGCGGGTTGATGGATTTGCGATCGGAGGTACTACTAAGAAAGTTAGATAACTTAGAGCAGTCGCTGATGTTTCGGGAGATGGCTCCTGAGACGAGAAGTGGTGTAGCTGGGGTTCTGTCTACCCTGTATTCTTTATTGGGTTGAGCGCGTTCTGCTTATATACTGTTTAAGTTGCGTGTAGCTCTACTACGGGAAAAGGGTGTTGATAGAGTTCCCATTCGGTCAATCAACTGTTCCGACGGCCACGAGGTATACGCATTTCCCTTGACAATCAGGAGCAGTATGTTGCCAACCCCCTAAGGCTTGTCGCCTTCCCTGTGTCCCATTTGTAGTGAGAGCATTATTATACCAAAGCAATCATTGTTGTACTGTATACTTGCAAGAGCATTACTGCCCGCAACACTCCTCCTTAATGCGATTGTTACTCACATTCTTGTATCTGTAGCTTTTGTCGAAGATACAGCGTACGAGGGGCGGACAGACCCTTCGTGAGTGCATCTGCAATCATATCACTAGTAGGACAGTAGCACATATTAATACTGCCGTCCATTATTGCCTCTCTCACGAAGTGAAACCTTATGTGGACATGTTTGGCCATTTTCTCTCCTGATGCCCATTTGATTGCCCCTATATTGTCTTCATAAAGGACAGTAGGAAAATCCGAGAGCAGGCTTAGTTCCTTGAGAATCATCCTGAGCCATTTTGTCGCTTTGACACATTCGGATATCGAGATGAATTCGGCCTCCGTTGAGGACAGGGCAACTCCTCCCTGTTTCTTGCTCTTCCAAACAACAGGTGTGCCATTCACTGTCACTACGATTGCACTAGTTGACTTCCTGTCTGATACATCACCCGCCCAATCAGCGTCTGCGAATGACTCGACAATAGGGGGAAGCGCGTCTTTTCTCCACTTGAAATGCAACCCAAGCGAGGCCGTCCCGTTTAGATATCGCATTATACGTTTCACCCCAATCCAATCTGCCTGGTTCGGGTCTTCACACTTACGGGCAAGTATACCGACGGCAGCCGAAATATCCGGTCTAGTTCGAGTTGATATGTATAAGAGAGCACCAATTGCTTCTCTGTAGCGACCTATGCTAGGATCGCGTTTCATCCTTTGTCCTTGGTGCTTGTTTCTCTCAGGCGAAAGCGGAGTGCTGACAGGTTTACAATCAGCCATTCCAAAGACCTCCAGAACTTTCTTTATGTAGTACTCTTGACGTAGAGATACACCTTTGGAAGTATAAACAAACTCCACACCGAGGAAGGATTTTGCAACCCCGAGATCAGTCATTCGAAACTCATTCATCAGCATTTGTTTGACGGTAATAACTGCTCCCTCAGTAATTCCGACAACGAGGACGTCGTCAACATAGACGAGGACGTACACTGTGCTTCCTTCGATGTCAATAAAATAGAAACACTCTTCAGATTTAAGCTGCACAAATTTGAGGCGGTGCATTACTTCGTTCCATGTTTTGCTCCATATCTTCGGAGCACGCTTAAAGCCATACATAGCTTTTTGCATCTTTAGAGCCTGACCTCTTTTTACGCCTAGCTCAAGTCCCTCTGGTGGATTAAGGTACAAGTTATCCTCTTCATCCAGCTTGCCATTAAGGAACGCAGACTTGACATCAAGTTGATGTATAAACGCCCCGTGTTGACTCATAATTGCCAGGACGAGACGAACTGTAGAGAAATCCACGACAGGAGCATACACGTTATCCACGTGTCCCTCTTGAAATCCTTTCGCCACAAGTCTTACCTTGTAGCGGTCCACGGACCCATCTGCCTTGAGTTTCAAGACAAAAACCAACTTCGAGTCAATTGCCCTAGCACTGAGCGGTAGTTGTACAACTTTCCAGGTATCATTTCTCTTTAAACACAGAATCTCCTCCTCAACAGCAGCGATCCATTTGGAGCGATTCTTGCTAAGAAGAGCTTCGGCGAGACTGGTTGGTGTTTTCTCATAATTTTTATATGCCGAAACAACCAGTGCGTTGAACTCACTACCTAGCCTCTCAGGCGGGTTGCGAACTCTTGTGGGATATCTCCTACCGTCGCCCTCAACTTCAGTATTGACAGCATTGGGATAGTAAGTCAGGTTCTGTTCTGTAGGGGTTTCGACTGTGGAGATTATGTCTTCTGCATTATTTCCTATAGTCGGCAAGTGAGAAGCCTGAAGCTCGTTTGCCTCTTCCATATGACCATCTTCCAAATCATACTCGTGGGCTCCCATATTATTAATCCAGTCGTACAGTAGTCCACTCTTCATCGCTGTCTGTTCCCATTCCCTTCCGGGGAAGACAGATTCGTTAATTTTGACATGCCGCACGTGAAAAATGTTCCCACTCTTGATATCCCAAACTCTGTAGTTTCGATGCGGAAGACTCCGTAGTAAGATTCCTCTTCTAGATTTCGCATCAAGTTTCTTCCTTTTAGACACAAAGCACCATATCTCACAACCGAAGCAACGCAGATTGCCGACATGTGGGACTTTGCCAGTCAGTATCTCTATAGGGGTGCGCCCTTCATTAGTTTGACTAGCTGTGACATTGCGAATAGATTTGGCTGTGCATACGGCCTCTCCCCAGAATTTATCCGGTAGGCCAGCATGTGATAACATGGAACGTGCCATTTCCATCAAAGTGCGATTGAGTCTCTCTGAGACACCATTTTGCTGCGGTGTATACGGTGCGGAGGACTCCCACTCTATTCCTTCTTTCTCAAGGTATTTTAACATGCCTAGGTACTCTCCGCCATTATCAGAGTATATCAATTTGATTTGGCAATCGTACTTCCGTTCAAATTTGGCTTGGAATGATTTGAAACATTCCAGTGCTTCCCCTTTAGTTGCCATAAGGAAAACATCCTTAAAAGAGGAGAAAGAATCACTAAACGTTATGAAGAATGACTTGCCGCCCAAACTTGGAGTCGGAAGTGGACCACACACATCAGTAAAAATCACTTCTCCCGGTTTTGTCGCTGTATCCTTCCTGGCGTACAATGATAGTCGAGACTGTTTCCCTTCCACACACGGAACACAGGCTACATCATTCTGAGGAGTGTCTGTGAAAGATATTCCGGTCACTGCATCACGCTTTTCCATTTCTTTCAATGTCCGAAGGTAAACATGACCAAACCTCCAATGCCAGAGCTCTTCTCCCACAGTGCTTCCCACTGCAATGTCTGCTGTTTCCTCTGTGACTATATCTTTGAGAATATACAGACCATCTTCGAGTTGTGCAGTACAAATAAGTTCGTCTTTCATTGATATAGTGCAAAGTCCTTTACTGAATTGCGTTTCGTATCCATCTTGGTCAAGGGCCGAACAGGAAACCAGGTTGGTGTCCAGACCCGGGACGTACAGTACATTGTTGAGTCTCAGCGTCTTCCTATTGTCATCAAAAACCCCTGCGCTGATATAAACTGAGCCTTTCTGATTTGATTTGATACTGTTCCCATCACCAAGCGTGATTATTCTCGTCTGTGAATTCACAATCTTATCAAAAAGGCTATGATCTGACATCATGTGGTTACTCGCACCGGAGTCAACCACGGCATACTTCTTTGAGGTTCTTCCTTCTCTAGAGAGAAGAGCCTTCTCCTTACTTCCAATGTCAAAGCTTTTCGTATTTACAGGGGCACTGTGCTCCTTTCTCGTCCAGTGCCTAGTCGTGCGTGCCCGACATTCGCGCTTGAAGTGGCCATATTTACCACATCCGTAACACTGGAGGTGAGCCTTGGTCTTTAAGGCTTTTTGGCTGATAGGTATATCGTTTTGTAGGACCCTTCCAAGATTTCTCTCGCAATTCAAAGAACTGTATTCTTGCAGCAGGCGTGCAGTTGTTTTCTCCCAAGAAAGATCCTTATCCGACATAGTCTGTAATGCTGTGATCACAGCTCCGTACGAGGAATCAGAGGTTCTGCCGAAACTAGCAAACAATATCGCTGTTTGCATTGATTCGTTCACTGGACTTTCCATTACTTCTAGCTGATTAAAGATATTTTCAAAGCTGTCGACGTACTCAGACATGGTTTGAGATTTTTCTTGAAAGGACTGTTGGTAAAGCTCAGTCTGTAGCTGTACTCGTGTCGCAGTGTTCTGCGTTGCATACCTCTCATGTAGCTTCTTGTACATTTGAAAGGGATTCTTCCTCTCCCCAGCCACAGTGCGCAGCGGCTTATCGCCGAGAGATTGGACCAATAAAGATTTCGCCTTCAATAACTTTGTCTTTTCATCAGGCGTCAGATCTTCTATTGCCACCCTGGCCAATTGATCGATATTCACCACTTCTAGAAGATCCCTCGACTCCAGCAAGGCTTCAAACCGCAAAGACCACAGTGTGAAGTCTTCGCCTCTCTTGGCATTGAATTTGTGAAGACGACGTGATACAAGCTCGTCATCCATCTTATCCCAGCGTAAAAGTTACGTGTACACTCTGTTGAGATCAAGTACCCCAACCCTCAATGAACGTTGGTTCCTTTTTCGCGATGCTACCACTCCTGAGACGAGAAGTGGTGTAGCTGGGGTTCTGTCTACCCTGTATTCTTTATTGGGTTGAGCGCGTTCTGCTTATATACTGTTTAAGTTGCGTGTAGCTCTACTACGGGAAAAGGGTGTTGATAGAGTTCCCATTCGGTCAATCAACTGTTCCGACGGCCACGAGGTATACGCATTTCCCTTGACAATCAGGAGCAGTATGTTGCCAACCCCCTAAGGCTTGTCGCCTTCCCTGTGTCCCATTTGTAGTGAGAGCATTATTATACCAAAGCAATCATTGTTGTACTGTATACTTGCAAGAGCATTACTGCCCGCAACAATGGCAAGCAGACAAGCGTACAAAAAGAGTGTAAGATGGTATTTGGGGACCAAAAGGCGAATTCGGAATGGAGTAACGGAGCTGATGGGATGCGGAATTCCGGAGACGGTGCTCGGTGGGCAAGGGTGCCGAAAGGGTGAAGGTGGTGAGCATTACTTATTCCACAGATGGTTTGAGGGATTTGTTGGATGTGCATTGGCAGCTGTAGATGAATGGATTTTGAGGGAAGGCGTGTTTTTGAGTCTTTGGAGCTGTTTTAGGGAGACGGAAAAGATGGTGCGGTGGAGGGCAATTGGAAAATGTGTACATTGGCTGTCGTTGTTGGTAATGAGGTTGGAATATGCGCAGCATAGTGAAGCGGAATCAGCGGAAAGGGAATGGTGGGTGACACAAGCAGGAAGCGCACTGGTAAAGATGAAGGACAGGTTTATCGAAACGAGCCACAGATGGTGATGGAGACGGGCTGGGTCAGGCAGTAACAAGGACAAGGTGGCGCAACACTTTGCGCAATAGAAGGCATCGCGAGTGTGAAGGAGTCGAATCTGACATGCCAATGATTAAGGTAATGCATAGTTGAAAGACGGAATAAAGGAAGTTGAATTATATATACATACTTCAGGCATTGACGGTCAAAAACCCCTGATCTCAGCAAGCCTTGTTGCGAGGACGAACAGTTCGTGATCATCGTCACACCAAAACTATTGCCCTCTACAATTAGCCGCAAACGCTCTCCGACGAGTGGAGCAGTTCAGTGTGAGGAAAAGACCGCTGTCGAAAGTGCTTTGATCATCATCCACAGCTTCCATATCGTGCCTTCTATCACACGAGCTTTGCTCAAAACAGGGGGCACACCTGGTAAACACTGTCTTTCGAACCCCCTTTTCGCACGTATCAAAATTGCCTGTAGCTGCAATGAGTCGTGTACACGTGTACAAAGGTCTGCACGATTGCACTCGCTGCAACAAAAGATCAGGGAGCATTGCGGCCATGAATTGGAAACGGCCAATACCGTACAGGGGCAGTCGCGAAAGACTTGTCAGTGCTGTTCGAAGTTTGAAGGTGTGGGGAATGTGTATCGGGAACTCCTGGGCAGCTGATTCTGAAAACAAGTGAGAAGGTTGCAAGAATAGAGAGATTAGAGATGAAGATGGAGATAGAGTGAAAGGGTTAAACAAGAGGATGGAACGAAGAGGAATTGGGTATAGAGGGAGAGCGAAGGGGATAGCTGATCTCTGACAGGTGGAGATGGATTACTTGACGACGATGGAAACATGCGTCTGCATGTAGACGGCGACAGGTGGATGGTGGGGTTGCGGTTGAGGTTGGGGTTGGGGTTGAGCATGGAGATCTTGTGCAACAGCGACCGGAAGAAAAGGCACAGAGGGCTTTCGAGAGCGGTTACGGCGGACGTTGACGGCGTGTGTGAGGAAGACGCCGGCGATAGTGGCTAACAGGGCGCCTAGGACACCAAGTACGGGGTCGAGCCAGGTCCAGGGCATAGAGGTTTGCGACATGGTGGTGGTAAAGAGATTTGTTGTTGTTGTTGTGTGTGTGGGTGAGGTAGCTGTAGGGCGAGAAACGGGTACAGATAGAGAAAGGGTGAGTGGATTTTGGTGCGAGAATGAGTTGAATGAGAGAGAAGATGGTCTGTGGTGATATGGGGGGTGGGCTTTATATAGCGATCGACTCGTTGCGAGGTGCAGGTGGAAGAAAGTTGGTATGTGCAAGAAAGTTGGTATGTGCAAGAAAGGCAGTTAGGTTGCAAGTGTGCAAGCACCTTTTTCGACCTATCAACGGTGCTCACTAACATTGCACCGGTGTGGGGAAAGCAGCAAAGGTGCTTGTGAGGCGATACTCGGCAGGTCATTTGTACCGCTGATAGGTCAGAAAAGGTGCTGGGGCGATAGGCCGGCGCGGCCGCTGATGGGTCAAAAAATGTGCTGGATTAGAAAGCTGTGGCGCTGTAGCGATTTGATCGAAAGCATAAAGAAAGAAGCTGGTTTACTGCAATATGGCTGTTGGCACAAGCTGAGTGCGGCGGATGATCGATCCTTAGTTGCAAAGCCGCGGAGAAGCCTTAAGTACTACCGCAAGAGAAACTAAAGTCTAGAGAGTAACAAAGACAAAGCATGAAGAAGAGTGTAACTAAGTGAAACATGGATGTTTCAGGGCAGTTCGTACAAGTGAATCTGCATCAGCGGAAACACAGCAAAGAGAAGGTAGAAGTGAATCGAATCCCAAGTCGCGTTGAGTCAATCGCATCATAATCGGATTTCGTGTTCGTGTCACGTCACGGCACTGCATCAAACTGCAGTCACACTGGAGGCGATACATTTTTATAACCCTTTCTTCGCTAGTTCGGTAGAGGGCACTGTACGGGTTAAAGCCTTGGTTTCCAATGAAACTCCCCTCCGTGCAAGTGCGTCGGTGGTGATGATGACAATAACTCAACATGATGCTTCACATGGGAAGGATGATGAAGCGGTCCTGTTGATTGCCGCTGCCAGTATGTCTAGTTTTCAGACAAGGAAATCGAACAATTTGGAATTGCGATCATCACCTGCGCTCAGCCTTGTGAGGTTTGAGTTCTCTTGAGAGGCAAAGCGCCCTGCATGCAAAGCGGTTGCCCACTTTGCACACTGCCCGACGAGCAGTTACCGTACCCGTGTTGAATTGCCTCGTTTTTCTATAAAACACGGTTCGGCACTATGGAAAACTGGCACCTGGCCCCATTTCATTGGTTGTGGTGATCCTTTTCTGCATTTCGGTCGCGCCGTCAAACCCATGGCGGTTGCTCGTTGTTAGTGAGCACCGCTGATAGGTTGCAAGGTGTGGCGTTGAGACCCGTGTGGTTTTCTGGTTGGCGCTTGTTTCGAAGATGGGACTGGGTATTTTAACAAGTTCAAGGAAAGTAGTTCGCACACAGCGAATCCCACTTCCACTCCCACACCGCCCGCTATTCTATTAAATCCTAAGTCTTGCAGAAGCGCACACAACCGTCCGTCTTTCCCGAGCAATTCCACATCCTGACAATCTCATTTCTCTTTTTTTCCTTCGCTCACAGTAGTATAGCCGACGAGCAAATTGTATAGCTCGAGGCTTGTGTGTTGTCAGTTCCATGCAGCCAGGATCTTCAAACCGCTCTGAATAATCCCACGTTTCGCAGATAACATGGTCACCAAATAACTCCGGCTGCAAACCTCGCTGCCTGAAAACCGTATGCTGAAAACCATATGCCGACTTATGAGATAACCCAGCTTTAGGTTCTAACTGCTCTACTCACAGTGGGCGACTCCGAAAAACATAAATAGTGTACACACAAATTCCCTTGTGTATGAGTGTCGTATTTTGTGAGCTGGCACGGAAATGCATGTGACATAAAAATTTGTGTCAGACACGCAATGCTATACTTCGTACACAAAAACACATTTTGTCTCCCAAAGACCTTATCTTCTTACAACCTGCTGTTCACGGTATGTAGATATATGTCCGCTCTCCAGTACTGTACCCCACCGCACCCTGCCTGTCCTGACAGCCCTGCACACCCTCGCCCCGCCAATCGCGCGTGCCGTCTGGCGCCAGTTCCTTGCGCGCCACCGCCGGCGCCGACCTCGCCGCGCATGCACGCACGTGCCGCGCCTTTTGGCACCCCGCCCCGGAGCAACGCTCAGCCGCCACCTCGCGCGACTGCGGCGCCCTGCGCGACGACGCTGCGCCGCAAGTCGTCCCCTCCAACGCGCGTAGTGCCGCGCACCATAACGCCCGCTGCGATTGGTGGGCGGCCCGCCGATGGCAGAAAGACACAGCCGCGAGGCACGCGCAGCGGCAGCCACGCTGACACACTGTGTGCGTCCCGCGACGCGACGCACGGGAGCAGCCGCGCGCGTGCCCACGCGCACACGGGGGAGATAGCTTCCGGAAGATGTGGGGGAGAAGGGGGGGGGGGACGCACAGCGATTCGAGTTTGCGCATGATTTCTGAACGAATTTTTAAATTCGTTCAAAAAAACGCCCAACCGTTCCGCACGCGCCCCCGCTGCGCACGTAACCCGTTCGCCGCCCGCCCCCTTCCCACCGTCCCCCGCGCCGACGCCCCGCCCCGCCCCCCCGCCCGCGCCCCGCCGGAAGCCCGCGCCATGTCGTCGCCCGTCTACGTCTCCGCGTCCAAGCGGCTGCTGAAGTTCCCGCTGCCGCCGCCGACGCCGCCGGACACGCTCTCGCTGACGAGCCGCCACGCCGCGCAGGTCGCCTTCAAGGTGAAGTCCACCAACTAGTCGCGCTACATCGTGCGCCTAAACGTCGGCCTCATCGCGCCCGGCGCCACGCTCCCCCTCCACATCGGCCTGCAGGCACACCTCGGCGACAACGTGCAGTATTGACAACTATCGACAAATGCGAAGGGACCAAGTCTGTCATGCCAATGATTGACGTTGTGCCTAGATCAAACCAAAAATGCAACGAAGCTCTACTTTGTTATATGTAGTCACGGGCGTGTGAGGTGTTTGAGAGCCAGTGCGTGCCGGGCATGTCGGCAAACACGTCCCCAACTGTACGGCGTATAACCTCTGGCACTTGTTCCTCCCGAATGCGTGTATTTGTTCTTGTCTTTTCTTTTTACTTGGCCGCCTTCCTTTACGATTTGCCCGCGAGCCAACAGCACTACTTCTGCTAAACTGTGGCGCCTCTCCCCACGAAGAATTGTCAGCAATATTGGGCGAGGGCGGGACAGAACAAATATTGCATCACAGCAATGCAGGAGGAGGTAGTACTTGTGATCTATCACGCTTTACTCTCAGATTAACGATGCCACCGTAAAGCATCGCAAAACAGGGTCTTGTCCTCATATGAGCCTCATTAGTTTCCTCACAGAAAGGCCCGGGTCAAACGAGGAAGCATGCAGTTCGAGACAACCAACCCTGCATGACGTGAGCCACTCAACAGCAGTGCTAAAACGTTCGCCAGAATCTGTGGACAGATTCTGGCGCTGACATCAGGAACTGCGGGAAACCTTTACAGTACTCTAAGATTTACAATTCCAAAATCTAGAAAAAGCTACTTTTTACGGCTTGGCCCCAATACCCCTCTCGTCCACCACCACTACCACCACCCCACTCTCGCCCTCCTCCCTCTCATCCACGGGCGGCACCTCCCTCGGCCCGACCTCGCCCACAAACCTCTGATGCGGCCTGGCAATGCGCCGGTCCGGGTCGTCCAGAAACTCGTTCCAGTGCGCCACCCACCCGCCGCACCTGGCGAGCGCGAACAGCGCAGGGAAATACCCGGGCTCGAACCCCATCGCTTTGTACACGAGCCCCGAGTAGAAGTCGCAGTTGGGGAACAGCTTGCGGCTCGCAAAGAACTCGTCCTCCAGCGCCGCCCGCTCCAGCGCCACCGCCACCTCGACCAGCGGCTCGTCGCTCTCGACCCGCGCGAACACCTGGTGCGCCACGTCCCGGATGATCCGTGCCCGCAGGTCGTAGTTGCGGTACACTCGGTACCCGAACCCCATCAGCTTCTCCTGCTTGCCCTTGACGCGCGCGAGGAACAGCGAGATCCGCTCCACGCTCCCGACCCGCTGCAGCATGCGGGATTGACAAGATGAGGGTGCAAGGTGGTTAGCAATGTGATGCGGGGCAGGTGGAGTTGAGGAAGATGGAGACATGGGCGCCAGCGTCGGGGCCGACGC